TTCTTGATAATTATTTTTTTTCTTTTTTAAAAAAAGAAAGCAAATCACCATGCAGCACTCTATCCATGATAGAAATGACTTCCTGAAAATATCCACGTGTTGCAGGGCTTTCTGGACGATAGCCTGTTGGGCCAGATCCAAGGAGCGGCAACAGGGAGGATAAACTTAACACAGGATTAAGACTTAGACCCTGGCTTCTGAGAAGTAAGCAGTATAACAATTATTTATACCAACAAATTACATAAGCTCACCAATGATTAATCGATAAGTATTGTTTTGATTTTTTTACCTTCATCATTACAATTTCTAAGCAATATCTACATAGTAGCTGTAGCTATGATAGCCATTCTAAATATCTATAGAACTTTTACATCTCCCGAGATGTAGTATTAAATGTAAAAGCAAGTTGTGAGATGATGTCTAATATGGTGCCATTTTATTCTAGTGATTTTAAGTCACATTGTTTTTTGTTTGTTTTTCTGTTTTTGTTTTTGATTTTTGAGACAGAGCCTTGCAGTGTAGTGCAAGCTGGCCTTGAACTCACTATATAGCCCAGGCAGGCCTCAAATTTTTGGTGATCCTCCTGTCTCAGTCTCCAGGTGCTGGGATTACAGGCATGCACCACCACGCCCAGTTTTATTGTTTTTTTGTTTGGTTGGTTGATTGGGTTTTTTCCCTAATTACAAATAAAATACATGTTCAAAAAAATTTTTTTTGTTTTGTTTTGTTTTTGTCTTTTTTGAGACAGGGTCTCCTTATGCAGTTCAGGCCGGCCTTGAGCTTACTTTGTAGCCCAGGCTGGTCTTGAACTCGCAACGATCCTCCCACCTCAGCCTCCCGAGTGCTGGGATTACAAGCATGGGCCACCACGCCCAGCATGTTCAAAAAATTTGAAACACCTAACACATTGGCACCAAATGTTTGTTCCTAGTAATTCCTTTCTCCTGCTACTACCGGAAATAACTGGGGTTAACAAGTGAGAAGATTTGCTTTCAGAGTCATTTCTGTCAAGTGAGATTCTGTATTAGATATTTCTGGGGTGGAGGGTGTGTGTGTGTGTAATGAACATGTGATGCTATTGTCTTTTTAAAAAAGTATTTATTTTAAAAGTAAAAACTTTCCAACTCCAATTCTTGTTTGAAAAGGGGGCATTGCAAAGAAATAAATTCTTAGGTTAGCAAAATTATCTATTAATCATTCTGGGTAATTCTATTTCTTTCTTTTTTTTTTTGGTTTTTCTCTGGTACCGGGAACCGAACTCACGACCTTGCGCATGCCAGGCAGGCACTTTTGCCGGTGAGCTAAATCCCCAGCCCCAGAAGTAGCTGTTTTGTACATTTGAAATTTTCCAATTTTCTCAGGATAGCCTGTTTTTTAGGTCCTCTAATCTCCCATTTTCTGAGTTCTGTTTGCATTGTCCGTT